CTAAGATCTAGAAAAACCGAAGTGAACGGAGAAGTTTATGGAGGTAGGCCGCCTAGGCCCACTGGAGCTGTAGTGCCAAGGAAAAAAAAAAAATAGAAATATTGCCAGATGCCATCGTATCTATTGTCATGGTTGAGTGATTGATATTTTTGTTCAATATTCCTGAGGTCCCGCGTTCGAACCTCGATCTATGAGAGTATTTTAACCGATCTAGCCATGACTTCCTTCAGACCTTCAGAAGTTGCTATGATACGAGTTTATAAGCTGTTAAAGACGAGGAGGTGTCATTAAATGAAGAAGAATGATTCGGACAATGATATAAAGCCAAGAATGGGGTAGGCTAGTGTAGCGGTCACGCTTTAAAACTCGTGTTCAGGAGATACCAGAGTCGAACCTGACTTGAGGATACCAGCTAAAGAGTTCTCACTCTCTCTTTCTGGTATAAATTCTTGCAATAAGTTACGACTGTCCGTTTTGAAAAGTCTTACCTGCTTACCATTCACGATATCTTGAGTCTATTCGACATAATAACAGCGGTGGCCAAACTTATTGAACAAAGGAAGCACATATTATTTTCGGAAAATCAGGAGCCTCAAACAGACGCTAACGGTATGGCATAGAAAATAAATTCCGTGGCTTTAGTCCACAAGCGACCGACTGAGCGAACTCCGCTTGTCTGCGAAGTTAGTGCCAACTTTAGCGGATAGAGGGTGTCACGTGGTCAGCGCAATAATTACCCATGGCCGTTAATTTCGGTTTTCTAGACCGGACAGGATGGCATAAGCATATAAATAAATGCTTTCTATACAGTTGATCTTCTATATTTAATCTATTTGCAAAATTAAGTTGGCTGGTGTCATATTCAGCGAGCTACCTCAAAGGTCCATAAAAGCCGAATGAGGTTCGCGGTCTACAGTTTGACCACATTTACTATGCAACTTCTGCAGTTGTAACAGAATAAGAATGAGGTGTACTATTTTCTGGGCTGTAACGCAGTGCAGTCTGTTGAAACTCAACCGACGTTTCGGAGGAACATATAGCCTCCATCTTCAGTGTCAAATGAACCATGCAGGATAGCGTGAAAGCAGGTGGCAAGCAGGGACGAATAAGCAGAGCACAATACCAGCGTGATAGCAGAGGGCTTGTAAGCTGGGTCAATTAACCCTGAAGATTGAGGCGATATGTTTCTCCTAAACATCGGTTGACTCTCAACGGACTACGTGGCGTTATATCCCAGACCCACTGCTGTGAGGTCCTCATATCCACCACAGAATGAGTCACTAACCTGACGCGAATGGAAGCCAGTCAACTACGTACGTTTACTAAATACGTGACGAAATTAACTTGTCTGTGTACGAACCCACATGATCATGAGGAGGAATATAGAGTTGATTCCGAGAACAGCCACTGCCGGTCCTTGGTAGATCCAATCATAGGCATGGGGGCTCCACCACGGGCAGTTACGCAGCACCCCAGGGTCAGCAGTTGGAGCCTGTGAACAATATGTTCATAATTAGGAGCGCTGTAAGAGTGGAATGTAAGCACTACCAAGAAAACCGAGATGTCGGGTCATGTGATCAGTTTCACTCAGATTTCCTGCCGCAGCATTTCGTTGTGGTTATCATTAGGAACCACAAGATTACCATATTTAAATAGAGAAATGGAACAGAATGTAGTTACGAATAAACCTCAAACTATGCATCATCTTGTGAATATTAATTATTAGGTTAGTAAAACCGGACTTTACTGTCAGATAAATTTCAAATAATAGTATTATTATTATTATTACTTATATCTACACTGTGCTGGCCGGTTACGGTAGCTGAGCGGTCTAAGGCACGCACTATCTTCGTTCGCTCGAAAGCCTCGATCGTGGGTTCGAATCCAACTCAAGGCATACTTGTTTGGTGTGTGTATATGTGTGGGCGCGTTTTGCTCTGTTTTTATACAGGTAGAGTTCTTGCGACGAGCTGATCGCCCACACAAGGAGTCCTACCGACTGTCTAAGATCTAGTAAAGTGATGTGAAACGGAAAGTTTCATAGAGGTGGGACAAGGCCAGAAATTTGGGCTGTAGCGCCAAAGGGGTGAAAAACTGTGCTGTGTCTGTGATTGGCCTTGTAGATGTTTGCTTAGCATATAGATAATAAGGAATTGAAAAAATTATTAAATTATTCTTAGCTGGGTGAGACTGAGTCCATTCGGTACTGCGGCCACTGTTTGGCCTATTGTACCAGCTCCAGATGATAGTTCATGGTGATTTTGGAGCAACTGGTGGAATGAAGATTGGCAGGGGAAACTTAAGCACTAGGAGAAAACCTGCACCAGCCCCACATTGTCCACCATAAATTCCTCATGACAACACCCGCTCTCGAAACCGGGCCTCCTCGGTGAGTAGCTAGGGTCTAACCGCCTGAGCTATTGCAGGGCCTTTAATTTTATGTAAGTAAATTATAGAAGTTCATTAACAAACCCTAAAACAGAATTAAATTTATTCAAGAATTCATTCTTCTAGGACATAGCTTCGCCGGTCACGGTAGCCGAGCGGTCTAAGGTATGTACTGTCTTCGCTCGCTTGGAAACCGGGATCGCGGGTTCGAATCCCACTCAGGGAATGGACGTTTAGTTTGTGTGTGCGTCTTTCTGTGTTTGTGTACAGGTAGAGGCCTTGCGACGAGCTGATCACCCGCCCAAGGAGTCCTACCGAATGTGTAAGATCTAGAAAAACCAAAGTGAACGGAGAAGTTAGTGGA